CAGATCTCCAGAACTTTTGCATATTGCAAAACTGATATGCTATACCCAATAAATGGTAACGGTAACGCCTCAGGCTGGGCATGGTGGCTCAGGCCTGTAATCTTAGCATTGTGGGAGGCCAAGATGGGAGGATCACTTGAGGTCAGGAGTTTGAGATCAGCTTGAGCAAGAGCTAGACCCGCTTCTACTAAAAATAGAAACAAAAATTAGCCAGACAACTAAAAATAGAAAAAATTAGCCAAGTGTGGTGGCTCACGTCTGTAGTCCCAGCTACTCAGGCGGCTGAGTCAGGAGGATCACCTGAACCCAGGAATCTGAGATTGCTGTGAGCTCTGCTGATGCCAGGGCACCCTAACTCAGGCAACAAAGTGAGACTGTCTCAAAAAACCAAAAAAAACAATAACGCTTTATTTCCCCCTCCCCTCTAGTCCTGGGTTCTGTTTCTATGAATTGTGCTACTTTAGATACCTCATATAAGTGGAATCTTACAGTATTTGTCTTTTTGTGACTGGCTTATTTCACTTAGCAAAATGTCCTCAAGGTTCATTTATGTTGTAACATGTCAGAATTTTCTTTCTTTTCAAGGCTGAATCATATATATCCATATATCATATGAATATACGACATTTTGTTTATCCATCCATAGATGGACACTTGGGTTGCTTCTACCTTAGCTATTGTAAACAAGGCTGCTATGAGCATAAGTGCACAAAGAGACTTTTGAGATCCTGCCTTGAATTCTTTTGGATAGATATACTTGCTGGACCATATGCTAATTCTATTTTTAATTTTTTGAGGAACCACCTATTTTTCATAGCAACTGCACTATTTTACATTCCCGCCAACAGCGCATGAGAGTTCCAATTCTCACCTTCTTGCCAACACTTGTTACTTTCTGTTTTCTTTTGTATAATAGCCATCCTGATGGGTATGAGTTGACATCTCATTGTCATTTTGATTTGCATTTCCCTAATGCTTAGTGATGCTGGGAATCTTTTCATATGTTTCTTGGTCTCTTTCTCTGACCCTGGCCCTCTTACCTCCCTTTTATAAGAATCTTTGTGATTACACTGGGCCCACCTGGATAATCCAAAACAATCTCCCTACCTCAAGATCCTTAAATTAATCCTATCTGCAAAGTCCCTTTTGCCCTGTAAGATAACATATTCATAGGACTTTAAGATCAGGATATAGCCAGCTTTGGGAGTGTTATTCTGACCTCCATGGATGAGTACTCTGCTTGCCAAAGCCAAGAGAATAAAAAGTTTGAAGAATGAATGTTTGGTTGATGATTTCAAATACTGTACATAATCTGTGCAGTCTAAAAATATTTGGCTGAATTTTACGATAGTGTCCTTTGATATAGCTTTTAGTAAAGGGGCAGGGCCATAATCCAGAATAAGTTATTAATATTTGATAGAAATATTCATACATGTACTCAAAGATATGTGAACAAGGATTTTCAAAAAAATAAAAGGCAAAATAACTAGAAAGTAGTCAGAAAAATTCTGATCATTTGCAGGCAAAAAATTTTTCCATCCAGAAAATTTAGGAAAATAAACTACAAAATCATTATCTTGCTTACAAAACAACAAATAACCATTTAGAATTATAATATACAATATGGGAAGTTCCCATTTACAGTAACCACCTGTATTAGTCTGCTAGGACTGCTATAACGAAGTTAACATGCATTGGGTGGCTTAAATAGAAATTTATTTTCTCAAAGTTGTGGAGGCTAGGAGTCTAAGATCAAAGTGTTGGAGAGTGTGGTTTCTTCTGAGGCCTCTCTTTGTGCCTTGCAGATGGCTTTTCTCTGTGTGCAGGCATCCCTGGTGTCTCTCTGTGACCTAATCTCCTCTTCTCATAAGGACACCAGTTAGACTGGATTAGGGCCCACCTTAATGGCCTAATTTTAACTTAATTGCCATTTAAAGTCTCTGCCTCCCAATACAATCACATTCTGAAATACTAGCAGTTGCTATTTCAACATACGAATTGGGGAAGTGGGTACTTAATTTAGCCCATAACATCCCCAGAAAAAATACAGTACCTAGATACAATCTTAAAATGCTATATGAACCCAGAGAAAGGTGGCTATGCCATCAAATTTTACTGAAAGACATAATTTTACTGAAAGACACTTGAGTAAATAGAGAAATGCACCATCTTCTTGGTGGGAAAGTCTTAGTATTATAAAGTTTCAATAAACTATCAATTTATTCTCAATTATTTTACTGGTATAACACAATTCTAACCAAAAACCCAACAGGATACTTTTCAAATCTATTACCCTTTTTCATTTTTATTCCATATTTGTTATATTATCTTTTTTTTTTTTTTTGAGACGGGGTTTTACTCTGTTGCCCTGGGTACAGTGCAATGTCATTAATGATGATGACACTGAGCTAATTAAGCTCACTGCAACCTCAAACTCCTGGGCTCAAGGAATCCTCTTGCCTAAGGCTCCCAAAAGTTGGGACTACAGGTGTGCCACCAGGCACAGCTAATTTTTCTATTTTTAGTAGACATTTGGTCTAGCTCTATGCTAAGGTTGGTCTTGAACTCCTGAGCTCAAGTAATCCTCCCATCTTGGCTTCCCAGAGTGCTAGGATTACAGGTGTGAGCCATCACACTTGGTCTATTATCTTTAATTGTATGTTCTTTATATCTAATGAGTATACCACCCTCAGCTCAGACCCATTGTCTTTCACCCCAAATCAACCTTCCCAACCACCCTATGTCTGGCAATAGGAAGCAATCACCCTACCAGTCACCTAGAATAAAACCTCTGGATTATTTTTGAAAATTTCATCCATAGTCCCCCTATAAACAGTCAGTCCTGTGCAGCCACTCTTGTTAAAGTTACACCTGCACCTTCAGTTCCATTCCTATCTGCCCGTCATACCTCATATTTGGATTTTTTTTTTTCTGGTAGAGACAGGGGCTCACTATGTTGCCCAGGCTAGTCTTGAACTCCTGCCCTCCAGCAATCCTGCCTGGGTCTGCCAAAGTACTGGGCTTACAGGTATGAGCTACGGCACCCGGCCTCATACCTGGATTCTAACTCTGAACATCATCCTTATCTTGAGTAATCTTTTAAAAATATAATTTCACTATTCTTTTCCACATTTACAAATACTGTAGTTAATGACTGTACCAGATGACCTTTGACAAGTTAATCACTGTGCCTCAGTTTACTCATCTATAAAATAGGGATGATAACAGTACTTACCTCATAGTTATGAAAATAAAAGGAGTTATTAATAATAATTTTAAGGCACTTAGAACAGGAAGCACTTTATATGTATTTGTTAAATAAATACTGTCCTCATTATTTTACCTGGTACTTAAAGTGTTCATTTAAGTGGGTTTAAGCACTGTACTCCCTTTTCGAATGATTATATTCAGAAATACTTGAGTATTTTACTGATGAACATAGGTGTAGATTAAAGCAGTATTTTTAATACCAAAAGACTGAAGGCAAACTATATGTCTATCAGTAGAAAAACTGGTGAATTAATGTATGGTAAACTATGGAGACAAAGGTAAATTTGTAAACAAAAGATACATTTGACATGAAAGGATGGCCATAACATATTGTTTAGTGAAAAAAAGCAAGCTGAAGAACAAGAGAGAGGTACAATATACTCCGATGTACATTCATTTGGGGAGAAGGACATACGTAAAGCTGTTAGGAGAAAACAGGAGTCTCTTATGCAATGAGGCAGTATAACCTTTCTGCAATAAATGTGTTACATTTGTAATTAATGCTAATTAAAAACAAAGGGATGAAGAAGAGAAAAAAACTAAAATACTTATGTTTAACACTTCCTTATCTCTTGGAAAACTCACTTATTAAAAGATAACTAGTGCTTACTACCCCACGGGTTCTTGGGAAAAAGAAAAAAAGGTAGTCCTTTTGCCTTTGATGTTCCCAGGAACTTTATCTGAACTTAATGAAAATACTAGTGGATCTGGGGATGACCGGGAGTCAAGTGCTAGGATTTGCTTCAGAACCTCTGTCCCACCAAGGATGGCTAACGTCAATTCATATTTTTTATCTGAGAAATAGGCATCAAATATTTTTGCTTTATCCCGAAAGTCGGCCAACAGAGCTGTAATTACCTGGGAAGTTCCAATGGAATGAGAAGCAAACCTCCCATCTTAGGTGTGGATGAGGGTTAAGGGAACAGCTACCCTTTTCAACAAATAAATCTCAGACTCTCTGAGGCAGAAAATCTCCATGTAGAAGACTGAATTTTCTCATTTTTTTGAGAATCATTTCCGCTACCAAGAAAAAACTGAGGTAGTTGTAAATAAAGTCAGGCACAGTTGAAAAATCCTTTTTTCCATGGTTGTTTTCCAGGAGTTCCTATTTCCTCACTGGGGGGTAGGGTTTTGAAAGTAGAAGGAGCCTCTATGAGGGCAGCAAGAGTAAGCCGCCTCAAAGAAGAGAATTACACGGTGCATTCTAACTGGCTAGTACCTGCTTTGTCTAGGAAACAGCCTGTTGTTTTCATTTGTCACCACTGCGTCTCGCTGGGTATCAATAAGCTAGGCCCTAGCCGCCACCTGGTGACGATAATGATGCCCGAAATCTCTCAGCTGCCGCCGCTAGACAGGCGGAGCCGTCTCCTTTAAGAAGCTGACTCACGTGGATGCAGTGTTGTGCGCTCTCAGCTGGGAGGGGAAGGTGGATCCTAGGTCTCATCACATTGGCCGCCTCGGGAGAGGGGGCAGAGTTGGCCTCTTTCATTGGCTGTACAAGCCCGAGGTGTCGGGTCAGGGGCGGGGCGAGCTGCAGCAAGCTTGCCCTGGGTCTGCGGCTTCTGGGAGGGGTGGGCCGAAACGCGAAGGGAAGCCAGGGTGGGGGAGGGTTAGCCAGAGAAGGGGCGGGGCCCAGCGGAAAGGGCAGGGTGCCAGAGAGAGAGGCGGGGCCTAAAAATGAAGGGCGTTCTGGGCCAACCCGGAGCGCCGACTCCTGGAGGGGCGGAGCCACGTTGGGTGATTGACACAGAGGCCCAAGCAGGGAGAGGCGGGGCCAAGTCCGGGGCCTGACTAAACTGGAGACTCGGTAGCCGAGGGGCTTCGTCCCAGCTGAGGAGCAACAGCCGCTGGTAGCCGCGGATCTCGCCGCAGCTCTGGGTGAGTGCTGCGGCGGGGCCTGGGCTCGGAGACGGGCCTGGGGCAGAGGAGCCAGTATGGGCGGCTTCGAAACACTCGGGGATCGGGCCAGAGCGGGGGGCCCGGGCAGGAAGTGCCTCTTCCTCGCTGCGCTCCCTCCGGGGTCCCGGCGCAGCCGACCCTGCACCTCTGCGCGGGCCCCGGCGTCGGGACTGCGGGCTGACGGGTCAGGCTGTGCCTCTTTGTGAGGCCTGGCGCTGCGGCCGCCGTCGGCCCGCCCCCGCCGCGCAGCCGGGCGCGACCACAACAGCGGCGACCCCTCGGCGCAACGCCCGGGCCTCGCTGTCTCGGGCCGCGCCCACCGACTGGGCCGCGGAGGCCCAACTGCGCCGCCGAGGCCTGCAGCGCCCCTCTGCTGGCGGTTCGGCCGGCGACCCCCACCCGCCGCGCCTGCTGCCCCGCCCCCACCGGGCCGCCGTCCCCGCCGCAGTGTCGGGGGCGCGCCGGGGTCCGCGCGTCGGACTCCGCGGCCCCCGCCCCGAAGTGAAGTCGGAACTTGGCAGAGTTGTTTAGGCCGCGATGACGCCACGGTGTGACCGGTCCTGGAAAGGGCCCACGCCCAGCCCGCAAGGCTCTGCCCACGGGCGGGGGTGGCGTTCGCCCTTGCTTGCGCTGGGTGAGCGTGCGCCCCCCTGCCCTTCTCCGCTGACCCCTGCGCGGAGGGCGCGGGGTGACTGTTAGGCAGCCTGAGGTGTGCGGGGCCGTGGGAGCCCGCGCCCACTCAGCTGTTTCCTGCGGGTGTTTGTTGTGCTGGAGGAGGCCCCGCCGCCGCGGCGCTCGGCCGCCCCGCCCCTCGCTATTGGCCGGCGGGCGTCACGTGGCCGCGATCAGCTGGGCCGGCGGCTGGGGCGCTCGCGGCTGCGGCGGAGCCCACCAGCGCCCGGGGTTGCCGGGGTTCCCGGGCTGCCCCGCTTTCCCCACCGCGGGCTGCATCCTGCCGGCCGCTCGCGGGTGGGAGGGTGGGCGTGCTCTTGGAACCCCTTTATTTACAGTCGTATGCAGGCAGGTAGGACAAACGAGAATTTCGATCAGCGGGAGTGGGAAGCTGAAATGCCAAGATCTGTTTAATACACCGACCAGTCTCCTTTTCAAGGGAGAGTCTAGGAAGGTGTAAGCTCATTTATTTTTAAACTTTTTCTGTTTACAGAGCTCTGTTGGTAATCTGAGGATTTTTATTCCGGGTCTACTTGACAGATGGAAACCCTGAAGTAACCTCAGGCTAACCTTGTGTTTTTGGAAAATTAATAGACTTAGGGATGAAGAAACAAGGTGTAATAAGATATTAGCTATTAGCTAACCCGGCATATACAGCTTTGCAGCTGCATCCCAACAAAGAGGAACCAAAAGCATGCAGGGTTTCCAGGGTACATATTTGTGCCAGATGCGAAGTGCTTTGGGTGGATTTTTTTCTCTAAAAGTTATTGCGTGTTTCTGTGGGTTAGGTAAGAAGGATATTATACAGAGCTTAGAGTCTTTTCTCTAGAAACTTGCAATTTAGTAAAAAGTCATAGACAAATGAAATTAAGTAACAATACAAAGTTAAATATTAGTAAGTTATAAAGTGAGTGTTACAAAAATTCAAAAATAAGGCAGTGAGAAATGAGTGGGGATGAAGTAGGGAACATTTTGAAGTGGATTGGTATTGATTAAACCTAGAAAATGAAGAGGTTTGGGGTTGCTTTTGGGCTGATGGGAGCTTAGGAGGAAAAAACAGACCTAGAACATTTACAAGGATCAAGGAGGTGGAGCTTGTGGAATTTGGAACATAAAATACTTTTCACATATCTCCCTTATTTTTCTCAGTATATACTGGAACACCAGGTAGAATTACACTCTTTAGAAGGAACTGTTTATTTTTCTACACCCTCGTCTAGCCCAGTGCCCAATACAGGCCTTTTTTGACTTTATCTCTAGCAACCATCTTATCTCTAAGAAAGGGGCATGATGAAATGTGCCCAAGTAAATTATTTAACTCTCTACAGGGAAACTAAGTAAATTGGATTTTAACAGTAACTTTTCTAAACAAGGTTGGTACATATATGTGGCTTCTGTATATTGGATCATTGAAGACTTTTGTCTAGACTTAACTTGCCTTTTCTGTTTTCTATTTAAGTAGTAGGAATAAGAAACAGGTTTTAAAACAATAAAAAGTGAAAGGAAATAGAGCCAAAAATTTAGTGTAAAAGAAGAAATTAGCTACTACCGCCAAAAAACAATCCATGAAACTCGAAGATAGTCATAACTATATTTGTGCTCACAATACCACTTTAGGTTTAATAGTGCCTAAATAAATGCGTATCTAAATCAATATCAATTTACCTAGTAACCCTGTGTAGCAATGTCAGTGTAATGTGGAAACTGAACCTTAGCTAGACATGAACTTGCTACTTGACGCCTGAATCAGGAAAACAGATGTTAAATTCTCCAATTCGTCCAGTTAGAGGCTTGCATAACAACAAACGAGATCATGAAATTGTCTCGCCTACAGTTTTTGGGGGAGATTACCAACTCAGTTGGTGCACTGACTCCTGGATTCCTAAGTTATATGACTAGTCTTATTTTCTAATGATGATTAAACTAGGCATTATAGAAATACAATAAACTTGGAGGCCATTTAACAAAACAAGAAAAAGTAAGGTGTTACTTGGGGGGTAAGAACAAAAACATACTTAAAAATTTTGATCAAATGAAGACCTGATTCTACAACCGAGCCATCATTTGACACAGCCTGGTAGACTGGTCAGGTATTGCAAGAGTATAGCACAGCTTTCTGTGTCACTGAAACCTTGGCTTGGTAAATATTTTGTACAAAACTGGAAATTTCGTGAATCTAACTTATTTTCTCTTATAGGTTTTTGAATAGCATTTAGTCACAAATGGGTATGAAAAGAGTTAATGAAATTACTTTAGCACTACATGTTATTTATTGTAGTAATCGACCCAGCACTGTTAAAAGTTCTTTGGGTGTTTTTTCTTTTTATTAAAAAAAATATATATTTTCTATCTTTTTTTCTTTTTTTTTTTCTTTTAGCATTTCTTAGAAGACACAAGTTCTTTGGCTTTGATCCTTTGTTTTGGAGAGGGAAGAGACTAAAAACCATATATACAAGTGTGCTTCTACACTATCCCATTTTAGGAGAATTTTATTGCAAAACAAAACCTCTGGAAGGGGCAGATTCTCCTTTAACCCTTTCTGCAAACTGTGAACTGGGTGTTTTTTCCATCAGAAAGTCTTATGAAATAAAAATAGATATCTATTGTTTTCCTCCTTGGTATTTTTAGGGCTGGGAAATGGTGCCTCTGGCTAATTTCATGTGCCTGCACTGAAACCAAACTGGATTATTAATTATAGGGAGGGCAAGTACCTATTTTAAGACCTAGAACTGTGACACTAAGAATTTGAGATGCCTCTAAAGGTTTCCGCCTTTCCTCCTGCTTCTAATTTCTATCTCCTGGTCGCTTAGCTTTGCCATAATTAACTGGAGGTGAAGCGAGTTAATTGTTACTGTTTCTTATCCTTTCCAATCCTTGCTTTCCTCATCTGTGTTTCCTCATCTTTGGGGGGGGGGTTGGAATGGGAAATGTTGATAAAGGTAATCTAGTTTCACTGACCTTTATTCTCTGTGAATAGAGGCACTCAGTTCACATTGTGAATTGAGGCACTGTTCTCAGGATGTAGTATCTCCGTTTAATTCTCATAACCCAAGACATGGATATTGCTTGTCACCATTTGACAGATGAAGAGGCAGAGGATAACTTACCTAAAGTTTACAAACCTAATTAAGCAAGAGAGCTAAGATTTGAACCTGGGGAGTCTTGGAGTCCTGGGGCTGGAGGGAGGAGGAGGCAACAGCTGGGTATAATCTATTTTTATAATCTCTTATGATTGACCTTCAATATACTGAACTAGTTACAGAAAGTTAAGATTTTAACTAGGAAACCATGAAGAAAAAGGGAGTGAGATTAAACTGATATTATAAAATACTCCTTATTGATTCTTAAACCCCAAGGCCAACCAAGTTTTTTTTTCTGAGAAAGACTGCTTCCAATGAAAAGCTCTTTCCCTATCAATGTGTTTTAAGCAAGACAAACTTTTTTTTTCTATAGAGAGCCAGATGGGAAATATAAACTTTGCAAGCCACAAGGTTTCTGTAGCAGCTATTTGGACTCAATCATTGTAGTGAGAAATCAAGTATAAACAAGTGGGGTTGGCCATGTTCCAAAGAAACTTTATTTATGGACACTGAAATTTGAATTTTGTAAATGTTCATGTGTCACAAAATATTCTTTTGATTTCCAACCCCCGCAACCATTTTAAAGTTTAAAACTCATTCGTAGCTGTGGGCAGTACAAAAACGGTGTTGAGCTGTATTTGGCCCACAGGCCTAAGTTTGCTAACACCCTGTTTTTAAGGAAAATACTTAGCAATATACCATATTTTACTTGTTTGCGTGTATACATAAACCAATAAACAGTCTTTTTAGAAAATTGTTTTACTGGCCTGGAAACAACTAGAAAATTATATAGTTCATCATGTCCAATTTTTAAAATAAAGCATTTTGGGAGACTATGTCTCTCACAGATTTCTGAAAGAGAAAAATCTTTTAGATTCTGTAAATTTCTATTTTTTAATTCTGTAAAAAGGTAGAGGTCCCAAAATGTGATTGCTTCACCAGAGCCTCCTAGTAAAAGAAACTAGAAGTTATAGGTAGCTAAATATGCTATTTGTTGGAGGGAGAGGAAATTGAAAATAATTCCCAACTAAGATCTATGAATCATGTATGAATTTCACTTATATTTTTATCCCAACCCCTCATCATTTCAGATAATTTCAAACTGAGAAAAGGCCTCTAGTTAAACAACCAAATTTGATACTTATTTCAACGTTTTTAGGATTTTATAACCTGGAACAACTAAAGGCTAATATCAAAGAGGCCTTATTTGTAAAATTATCTTGGAAA